TTCGTCGTCCTCCGTATTCGTCAGACCTTGCTCCAACAAACTACCAATTTTTTCGTGATTTATCTACGTGACAAGAAGTTTTCTTTCCAGGAGACAGTAAAAAGTGTTTTCACACAGTGTGTGCAGTATAGATCCTCAGAGTTCTATTGCAAAGGCTTAAATGACCTACCTATTAGATGGCAGCAATTTATAGATAATAATGGTAACTATTGTATATTGATTAAATAAATTTGGTTAAAATTAAAAAATAAACAATTTTAATTTTCAGTACAAATCTGCAATCACATACTTTAACCCCTATTATAATATAAGTATAATCAACAGCACATCTGTTTATTACAAAAACATAAAAAAATATTGCAGTTGAGTTTACAATAAGCGCAAAATTGATTAAAACCTGAATTAAATCTTAAATGAAAATTAGTCGATCGAATAGAATGGAACACTAAGACGTATTGCTCAGACCTCTAAGACAAATTTGAAACAGTCAATTTTGTTATTAACAGTAAATGATGATAATTCTAAATAATATTCTAGACTCAACTGTCGAAAGTCAAAGCAATAAGACATTCTGTTTGGCTTCTTAAACAAATAACATTCGTTTTGTTTCAGATCTACCCAGATTTATAGGCCCAGGATCAAACGTCACAGTAACTCTCGGGAGAGATGCTACACTTACGTGTCGTGTCGAAAATCTACAGACATTCAAGGTAAGTTCTATTTTACTATAAGCAAATAAATAACAGACCTAGACAAATCCTCAAATATGGGGAAAAACAACACAAGTAGTATATTCAGTTAGTTTTATTATTTTGAGTTTAGAATAGTATTATAATGTCAAAAGGTAGCATTGGAAAGGTAGATTTTAAAAGCGTTCATCAAAAATCACTAACTTTCAACGATTTTTGTAAAATATTTATAATATTCATCTAAGTTGTAATTAAAAATAAAAAAAAAACTACATAATATTTGTGTCGTAGCCAAAACGTTATAAAATTTTCTCGAACTAGAGTTAATTTTCTTGTGTAATTACATCCTTTTTATAGGGGAAATTGATAACTACGTGAGGCATATCGTGGCTTGGAATTTTATGAAGCACTTTTACAATAATCGTAATTGTTTGCAGGTAATTAATTAAAAATAGTTTTCGATGAGCATTTCGCCGTCGTCTGTCTCTGTCTCTCTCTATCCATTTTTATAATTGTAATTGTGAAATGTTTCCAATTTTCGTAACAAGTTTTAATAAATTTTTGCTTTCTTCAAGCGAAAGCTGTTGATAAAGTAGGAAATATAGAATCACAGAAGTTATTATCAATTAAACTTAAAACACACACCTAAATAGTTTTTTTTTTTATTTACAGATGATGTTTTTAGATGAATTCTATTTTAATTATTTCTTATAGTATTATGATGATATGCGTTTTAAAATAATACATTTAAATGCTTAAATTTAAATTCGTACATTATTTTGTGTAATTCCATAATCCGTAGAGTGATAGCAGGTTGAATAATAATTTTAATTTGAAAAATGTCCGTTTAATTCTTGAAATATTTACAAAAGCGTGCAACATTTATCTATCTAGCTATTCATTTATCTAGCTTTTGTGGCTTCATAACATTTATCTTAATCCAAGTATGCCACTTAATAACCCTCTTTGTTAACCTAACGCCTCGTAAATACTCGTTTATTTTCACCAACCGTAAACTGATTAAAAACCTACCTTAATCTATACTTAATATTAAAAATAGGAAAGTAGAAAAGGAGAGTAAACTGGTAAATATATATCTAGATCGCTCTACTACGCTCCACGTGTCTCTCATATCAGTTTAGTGTTATAACAGTTTAGTTAGGTGACTAAAAAGCAATGAGGATATTATTAGGCTGCTGATAATGATAACTTCAATATTTCATAATATACTTACTTTTAGCTAACTTATTAACAAACTGAATCCGATGATGACAATTTCTAATGAAATATTCCCTGAATTATCGCCATTACAAAAGTATCTAACTAATCACTACATTATTAATAAAATTTTCATTTTCTAAGTAACCGAAGAACAATGCAGTAACGTTTGTAAACTATCTGACACTTTATTTAAATTTCCTGAAAAATATTGGGATTGACCGTTTAAATAGATTAAATAGATAGTAGCTCAGTGGATAAGCGCCGTGGCCCGCGATCGTTGTCGTTAAGCAACTTTCGCAAGGGTCGGTCACGGGATGGGTGACTAAAAAATTATTATCTCGAGCTACTCCGTGCTTAGGAAGGCACATTAAGCCGTTGGTCCTGGCTGCATCTGCAGTCGATAATACCCTTCAATCCGCATTGGGCCAGCGTGGACGGCCCATCCTCCTTAACCATCTCTAAGGAAGGCCTGAGCCCCTGCAGTGGGGACATAAAAGGGATGATGATGATGATGTTCATGTTTAAATAGAATATTTCTGCGAAAATGCTTTGATCATTCATCAAATTAAAATTTACCTACTCACTTATGTCAATATTTGAGCCAAGTTCAGGGATTCTCAATGGTTCCCTAAGGATCGTATCGCTCACGCAATAACTCAAGTTGTTAAGATGCCATCTCCAATCCTGGAGGACTAGAACCTCCTCTATAGAAACGTAAATTTGTATTTGTTATTGAAGTTTACAATTATTTTATCAGAATAATCTAATATTATTAATAATATTTGAATAATTCTAATACTCTAACAGAAATTAATCTTTTATTTTAATCGCTCGTAGTCTATCAAAGCTTAGTGTTAGTAAATTATTTATTCTATTTCATACGTTAGTATACTCTAAGTCTAAGCAATATTACGTAACAATAATTGCTTGTGCCCAAATAAGTTACACAACTAGATCATTAATTTACGCAAACAATATTACATTAGAAGACCTTAGACAAACTTTGTGTGACGGAATAATCTCAATTATTGTGTGGATAAGATATTACAATAATTAAAATATAATTTGTACATTTTTTCTCTACCTACGTGTGTTTGGTCGTTCTGCTATATTTGGTATGTATTTGAAAGTCCTTGCATAGTTAAGATTCACTATTGAACATTGAGGTATTATTTTTAATGACAGAATTATTATATTCCTGTCTCTTTTTTCATAATTTGGGACAGTAATCGAGTGTTTTGTTCTTTATGCAATGTAGAATTTAAGGTCAACCTTAATCTGTAAAAATGTTTTTAATGAAAATCTTTTAAAACACTCTGAAACTTTTAAAATGGCGATGGTACGACACACCGTTATAGTTGATTAATTAAATTTCAACAAAAAATCCTTTTATATCATAAAAGGTGAAAGATTTCTTTAATAGCAGTAACCACTTATATAATTTCTATATCATTACTATATACAAAAGAACAAAGCATGCATATAGACAAGTGAATAAGTCTTTTCATATAAACGCGCCTTTAGTATATTTCCAATCATTTTACACTACATCAGTATTATACCTTTTAGCTATTCGCCTGTGTAAATTATAAGAATATGTCATCATCGTATGATGTAGCATCCCGCAGACGATATTTTTAATTTTTTTTAATAAATATTATTAGTTTCTTTTCTTGTTTGCAGGTGGCGTGGTTACGAGTAGACACGCAAACGATACTTACAATAGCTGGTCACGTGATTACCAAAAACCATAGGATCAGTGTGAGCCACGGCGATGGCGCTTGGAACCTCGGCCTGAAGGACGTCGGTCCACCTGACGGTGGCCGATATATGTGTCAAGTAAACACCGAGCCTATGATGAGCCAGACGCACCTGCTTCAGGTTGTCGGTCAGCAGGCGAATTTCTTTACTTAGTTAACTAACTAGCGTCTAACTAGATGCTTATTCTTAATATTTCGCACAGGCAAACATATGGTTAGTAAGAAAACGATGATTTCCATGTGTGTTTAAAAGTGCTCGTGGTTGTGTGCATAGTAACAAGCTGGGATAGTAAATTAGAGATGAGAGAGGCGTAGTATTGCAAAAGTTTGCAGTCCATTAAGGCTATATTTATAGTCCCGTCAAGTGTAGGGTTTCATACATTTCCGCTACAAGAGGGAGTTGATGTATTTATGATGGCGATCAGCGTGACGACACGCTTGCAGGCTTATGACATAAGGTATGGTGTCTCAGTAAAATAAAAAAATAAATCTATTTAGTCCGCCGGTTAGCTGATTCTAGAGAAATATTAGTTTTTTTTGCTTCAATTTAACAAGACATTGATTAGAAAATAGGCATTAAAGTAGAGGAATGGGGGCTCGCTACACCACAACTACGTATAAAATGTACCAACGCTCACGCCTTGCGTGAAGGTGATGTGATACGACATTTCAACTCGTCATTTATTAATTACGTAAAAAATATAAAATACGTGTTTAATATTCTTCAGTAATATACTTGATGGACAAAGAAAAGTTAGTCATCATCCCTATTTCAATGATGCCGCTCCCCGTGCGGGTTGAATTCTTACAAATAGGAGTCATTACAGAAGGCCGATCCCACGTGTCGCTCAAATATGTGAAAACAACCTACCCTTTCTTTTGCATCACGCGGCGCGGGTTACGTCGTAACAGGCGGTTAAGATGTTATAATAGCATGTTTTCTTAACATAAAATATGGCTAGTCCTACATTTCAATGGCCCAAGATAATATCATATTTTCATATTAAGTATCTTCAGATGCCAAGCGATAAAAAAATATATATTTCTTAGACTATAATAGTATAAGATACGAAATATTATAGCATTTATATTATCGTAATATAAACCATCTGCGATAGCTTAAGATGTCCTCAGATGAAATCTTATGGCATCTTAACCGTATGCTATAAGCTTAAATGTAATGAGGATTTATCGTTTACAAGGGACAATACAAGGCAAGCGGCGCTTGAGCTCACACATGTAAATGTGAATATTATATCCCTGTGGCCCTGACGTTATTACGATTGTGTCATTGTGGATGCTGCCGACAGCTGCGCAACAACAATGACTTATGCTCGACTGTTGGGGTATAGTAACTCAAAAAGGGAAAATCCGAATCCTTATAGAATCACCAGAGCGTGTCCGTTTGCCTGTTCATAAGTCTGCCACAATTAATTTACTCAAAAATACGGTAACTATTATTGATATAAAATTTGATGCATTTTTATATTACATTAATTATTAAATTTATAATATTATGGATTTTAATAATTGTAACAATTTTATGGAGGTAAAGACTACAAGTATCGCCGTCACAATTCTTGGAAGTACTAGGCTTAAAAGGAAATGCAAAACCTAAAATTAAATTAACTGAATCCTCAATGTGCTAGTCGGAATCGCACTTGACCGTTTTCAAATGTGCTTTACATACAGTGGTCGAGATCGTGAAAGAATAAATTTATTACAGTCTTGTATTTTTTTTCTAGACAATGATGTTTCTGTTGGTGAAATATCTTTTGTACAGTTAGAATTTATTTTGTGTATTTAACACACAAGCAACGCGAATAATGCATGTTATTCAGTGCACTGAATCATGAATGCAAAATTACATCCGTGGCTGAATCTACTACAACGAATAATAGCTCTAGTCACTTAATAATTTATATAATTATTTCGTAGCATATTATTTCGTATGCAGTCGTTAATACCCTCCAATCTGCATTGACCCAGCGTGGAGGGTCATGATCCATCCTCCTAAACCATCCATAAGGAAAGCCTGAGCCCCTGCAGTGGGGACGTAAAGTGCTGATGATGATGATTATTTTCATACTAGATCTACTCTACGTAGAATAAAAATAGCTAACTAGAATTGTAAGGTTTGTGTTTATTAAATTAATCAAATATAATGTACATTAATTATATTTGATTAATTTTATATTCACAATGCTATGATGGAAAGTATTCTTAATGAAAAATGCTTTAAAAATTCACTTTGAGATATGATTCGAACCCGCGACTTTCTGCCTGCTCTAACCATTGAGCTACCTAAGAGGATAGACGAATTTTTTAAAGCGCTTATTTTCAACAAAGTTCAGGCAACCCACCCAAACTGCCGACAGAAACATTTTTACAAATACTTTCGATAAAGAATATTTGATCAATTTTACATATAAATCAATAGAAAAAGGAAATTAACAAAAACAGATATATAATAAGAGTCCCTTAGCCAGCATTTTTAAACAAAAATGATTCACTTTTCGTTAGCTATTAGAAAACTCAACCTCAGCCCTATGTTGATAATCTATCGTTAATTTCATAGCATCATCTTAATTCTAAGCAATATATGTGATGTTGTCTAATATTTATTTATTTTTATTTCAATTTTTTGTCTCTAAAATTGTAAAATAAGTATAGTAGTCAAAGTCTAAATTGGAGTAAATTATGATATAATTATATTCACAAGTAACAACAAAAATTGCTTTTTTGAGTCTTGAGCAGTTAACCTTTTTTCACTTTACCTAAAGAGGAGAAGAACTACAGGCGTGTAAAGAAATCAATAAAATTTAAAATCAAAATCATGCTTGACAATAAAATAATACTCAACAAATAAAATACATCACTATTAAAACTAACAATTTTTTGATTAGGAATAAGGTTGTATTAGTCAATGCCGCTACATGACATAGCGAGAAACAGTTCAGCTTCAGAATCTTGGCAGCAGTGACAGCTATGTCATTAGTAGTGAAGCAATTTTCGCTTCCTCATGCTTCTCTCGAGATTTCTGCTGACTTTATATCGACTTAAGATATCACTTACTTCTAGAATACAGGAAAAAAAATACCGATACCCACTCAACTTAATATAAAAGTGTATAAGTGTAAAAAAATAATTACCTATTTATTGTTCATAACATTTTATAGGGTATGACAGGATTTTACAATACACCCAGGAAAATATATATATGACAAAAATAGATAGATACATTATTATATAGGATTTTAAAATAAATGTTTTTATGTAAAATACGATCTGGCCCATACAGTAGTAATGTTTTCTATAATTCCATTAAAACGCGTGTTGATAATCTTGTCTAGGCTCGATCCATTTATTTTACTGAATTTTAAAATGTTCAATTGAATAGCACTTTGTGTGGTCAAATAACATCAGTTTTAGTATCCAAAACATACATTTTTCTTCCTCTGTCATCAAGAGAAGATAGCTAGTGAAACTTTGTTAACTTCCGTCGGCACAACTAGATGGCACTGTAAGTTTATTCAATCGCTCTATCAGTGGGCAATGTAAGCAACAATAGATGTTTCATGAAGTAGTTCAAGGTAGTAAAATAAATCCTATGTTTTTGTTGTGAGACCGTACAGTATCGTATGGTGTCACGTCTTTATCTGAAATCCTTCCTTCCTACCTTCGAATATAATTACTTGAAAAATTGAGAACATGTCATCATAACTTAAGCACGCAATTACATACGTTTTTACAAAATATTTTTTAGTGAAGCGATTGATAGTATTATTTATCGTAGCCAACTAGTAAACATAGGTGTTCAACTGGGCGGTAGAGACGGGTCGTTGAGAGATTTCCGTCTACGAAACGAAGCCGTTCATGGACCTTGATCGATTAGTTAAAACTACGTCAAAGGTATGAACTTTGGACGAAGTTTAATGGTTTAATTAAATTGATCTCATGAACCTTGATAGATAGATAGTTAAAATTTTCACATAAGATGCATTTCTGTTGCCAATATATGAACAAATACTTAAAAAATTCAATCTCTCATGCAAATATGTAGCACAGACTTGATTTTTTGCCGTTTTATAGATAATGGTACGGAACTCTTCGCGCTAGACTTACAGGCCCTTAGCTGTTTTTTAAACATACAGTTAAATGAAATATTATGAAAAATTTTATATAATATGATTATTAATATAATAAATTTAAATAATAACTTATAATCTTCAAGGATAACTTAATAAATCACCTTATACCTCGTGTGTTCATAAGATTTCAGACGAAATAAAAGTTACTTAACTCTTTTAATAATTAACTTTTTTTCTTATATTTTCAGTAACCATTAAATAGATAATAATTAACAATAAAATATATATTAGGTCCTTATATATGAAATTGGCGTTTTTACGTACTGGCCACTTTAATCACAAATTTCTCCTCCATGATTGGGAATTCCAAATTCAAATTTATACAGCCATTTACACATGTATTTATGTTTCGTTAAGCGGCATTCATTTGTTTTTTTTTCTTCTGTTTGTCAGTGCCTCGGGCATATTAGGTTTGCCTCCCCCATAGATAAAAGCCGGAAATCTTCAGAAAAAAAAACTAAGAGTGGGTCTATGTGAAATTGTTAACTGGGAATAATTCTAATATAAGGAAAATTTTGGTTATAACAAAATTTGTACCAACTTTTGTAAGCCACATGAGTGCAATATACACCTTTAAATTGAAAGAATAGCGTCGAATTCCTCATCGTTGATTGGTCACTCACGATATGTGGAATGCGGGATAGAGTAACATTTAGGATTCGAAAGCGGTGACTATAATGTGGAATTTCGTTATTAGTTTAGAGTTTTATAACAATCTTTTATCTATATCATTCCATAGGGTCCTTACTGGATAGGAAAAGAGAACCGGTTACATTGTGGCTTACTGCACTTTTACTGTTTTATGGTTAATAATCGTTTCAAAAATACTCGTTTTTTCTTCAGATGCTGCGCGATCTTGATAATTTCATCATGGAAAATATTGGTCTCGAAATATTTATCATTATATATAATAATAGTGAGCATTTATTTCTCTCCAAAAACGGGATCCTTAAACAGACAAGTAGGATCTTGATATAACTTTATGTCTATAATATACAGTCATATCAAGAGGACACTAGTCCCGAATGTGGGTTTAGTAATAAATTTATAAACGCAGGCTACTCTAGGGCCCGCTAACATATTCCTAGAGAAAAATTTAACAGGTGGGGTCGGTCTCTTTTACATATGTTTTCTAAAATAATATGACAATGATAATAATGATATATTTTTTCTTCATGATTTTAAAATATTAATATTGATGTCACCAAGAAGGATTATGTTTTTAAAACCAACTAGATTTTCTAGTAGACACTAGGGAATTCAAGAATGATGGTCTTTAAACGGCAATTAATACTGTATCGCTACCGAATTAATACTAAACAGTTGTAAGCTTCTGTAAGTATTGGTTCATCTACTCTAACATTTAAATAGTTATTTACATACAGGGTGATTGTACCCGTCATTTCATTGAGGTTTACAGTAGTGCTATAATGGTTTTAGTCATTCATAGAAGGTATATTGTAATCCTCGGCCAACCAATATTTGGATAATAATAATAAATCACAATCCATTTATAATCGTATTAAAAATATCTGTCGGTCGAAGAAATTGTTATTAATACTCCTAATATTTTCTCGTGCAATTTTAAATATGACTTTGATTTAAACAGATAATCAATCACATTTAACCTTTTCCAGTAATTAAAAACTCTCTAATTTATTTACAATATCATTTATGTTAATCATTATGTATAAATATAAAAACTAAGCCCATTTTTATTCGATATTTTTAATCCGAGTCACGAATATAATATAAAACTTGCAGTTGATAAAGCTGTGTTAGCGTCATGTTAAGAAATAAGATAGTGTAATTTTTTAAATATTTATATATGTATATGTAATATAATGTATGGTATAATATCCTAAAAAGGCCTAATACAAAATACTATATATTTAATAATAAACTAATACTTAATATAATATTAGTATTTATTATTAATTTAATTGTTGTTATTCATTGTACTGGCGCAATAGCAGAGTTGGTAATTTTTTATGATGTAATAAATATAACATCATAAAAATTTACCAACTCTGCTAATCTGTGTGAGGATGAGATTTTGACAATTTCATATAAGGTAAATACTTCATTCAATATTGAGTTTTCCTTAACATGCCAGTAATTATAATATGATGTCATAATATGATTATGACTGGCAAGTCAAGGAAAATTTTATATTTAATAAATCTTATATGGATTTAACGAGCTCGATGGAGCATTGGTTAGCGCGCTTGGCTTGCAATACGGTTGTTAAGCAACTTTCACTATAGCCGATCATACTTAAAAATGTATGGTTGTACATCATAGTTTATATTTACATACGTTTTTACACTATTGCTTATACAGTTCCACCCGATATTGATGATGAAACAAGCAGTAGCGAAGTGACAGTCAAAGAAGGTGAAGATGCAGCTCTACGATGTGTAGCGTCTGGAACACCTCCACCTGGTATTGCATGGCGCAGAGAAGATTCGAGACACTTCAAGATTAACAACCAAACTCTAGGTACGTTTTTAATTAGAATCTCGCTAAAGAAAACGCTTGAAAAATAATAGCGATTGCATTATACTGAAGCTCTTATATACTATGATATATATAACTCGTTTACTGTATTCACTGTGTAAGGAGAAATAGATTTGTGATGGTTTTAGTATTTTAATTTAATAATTGACTTTTTGATGTAATTTGATTGGTTTAAGACTCGAAATATGACTTAGATCGTTGATAAGAACATGTAAGAGTAACATTGCTAATGCGATATAAATGAATGTATTTATTCTCACCCGAGTATAAATCATAATAATGTACATAGTTTAATTTTTAGACACAATGCTATCTGAAAGTTTATATGATAAAATTCCTGAAGAATAATAGTTGTATTTTATAAAATTTATGTCTAAGATAATACAAAACTTAGGTAAACAATAACTTATAAATATCAAGAAACCGTTTAGGCTCTTAGAAGCCTCAGAACACAAGCCTGAAAAGATACACAATTAAAATTTATTTGCGTCACTAAGACCAAAACAAATGCAGCCAAGTTTCCGGCCAAATTGAATACAAAACCCAGCCATTTGCATCGCTTAGCGAACTTTCATGCATAAAATTAGTTGAACAAAATAATGAGGCACTAAATTCAAAATTCTTATCTAACATGATTAATACCACTTAAAGTGCCGAATCAGTTGCCTTTTCGAATAGTCTTATCTCGAGTTGCTTGTTTTGTCCTTTTGTTTAATATTTTATTATGAAATAAAAATGTTTTTTTTTTTTTGACGTAGGCCCTAAATTGTGTAAATGTATCCATGGCTGTAAAGTTTCAGAGACGGCGTTTGTTTATCGTTGTTTTCAGAGATTGAAAGATAAGTTTATGTTTACTTTATTTATTCTAATGGCACACTGTACCGAAACGAATACTAGCTTTTTAAATAATAGGATACCAGTCCTTCCTGTCAGTCATGATCTCTTGCCAGTCGTTCGTTCCCAAGAGATCAAGTGTCATCAGCAAATAAATCCTTCTAAATGTAATGAGCTTATATTCCTCCTCACGTTTTGTTTTTAAAGTACATATTCGCATAAATTATTGAAAGAGATATTACTTTTCTATATACAGCCAACCATCATATCTATACTAAACTTTACTAGGTTATTATATGAAAATGAAAAAATCTTTAGATGAAGTCAAAAACGTTTATAAGTACTTTATTAAAATCTATTTTATCTTATATATGTTTATGTTTGGCGTTACATAAATGATATAAGTCATAAAAATTGTATATTATATATGCACGTGTGTTAATTTTTTATTTAATATATTTCTCATGTATTATTTTTTTAGCTTTTTTACAACTTCCACAGCTTCCTGCACAACTTACATGTAATTTAGTAAAAAGGTAAAAGAAGTCTAAAAATTTTTGCTTCTCTTATTAATATGTTAAGTCTTGACCTACAATAAAGAGGTTATGCATAAGTCAAAACTAATTTAATTAATATTTTAGTCGTGTATCAGTTTTATTATTTAAAAACCAAAATAACCAAATATTACTTATCTACTTATGGTGAAAATCGATGGAGTGATCAGAGATTGCGGTCCCGGTAATAACCCTCGTTAGGGCATTTATCCCTAACGATGGAGAGAACTCCCATCACGCGGATACGTAAACGAGATCAGCCCATTAAGAGACATGGAGTTCCATTGAGATTTGAGGTTTTTTTTTATGTCTGTTATTTGTTATTTTGTGGAAATTATATTTATTGATTTTGTATATTTATTTTCTTTTCAACGGTCTTTTATTCTTTTGGTTATTATGGCGTCAATTTACACAGAAAATACTAGCTGTCGACCAGCCTTTCCCAAAATGTCTTATTGTGGACGCTATATATATTTAGGGGAATGATAAAGGATCGGGAGATAAATGGAGCGAAAGGAGATATTTAAAATTTTTTGATGGGATCTACTACGTACGCGTTGTTTTTAATGTTTCTTCTCTTATTAATACAGCAGTTAAAACGTGTCAATTAAACAAACAGAGATTAGTGAAGGCGTAAGAAATAACTTTGGTTAAGTATATAACTACTATAATACACTAAAATTGTCAAAGTTGGCAGTGGATGAATAATTTTGAAAACTAATTTTATAGATGAAGGATATATAAATTATTATTATAGATAAATCCGATTACCCTTTCACAAAACTTCTCTGGCTTCATGACATTTCTCATTGGTGGTGATGGTATGACCAAACACCACCAATTACCACCACCTGAAGTGTAAACTTTTAATTATACCTTTAATATTAGATTGTTAAAGCGTTAAGTACTTATGATAATATTTTCCTAGTATTTTTTTAAACTATTATGTTTTATTAGGAAAATGTCCGACCTCCTCTTGTAGTAATACTCGTATTTATTTGATAATTATAATAAATAAACAAAAAGAATATTTTTAAAAATTTTCGTAGTTTTCAGTTTTTGATTGAGTTTGTATTAACTTTAGATTTGTATTTTCCTTTCCATACATATTTCAAATTGGATAAATAGTTTTATAGTTTTTCATTGATAAAGTACTGAAACATATTGGACATTAATGACATGTGTAGCTATTGCGGTACCTTAAATAAGTAAATATAGCTTTTTGTTGTAGTTTCTTGGAAGTTGAACATCAAAGTAATGTTATTATAATAACGCGGATATTTAACTATTAATAGTATCAATAATGGTGTTTCGTAACGTGATCCTTACAGTTAACTAGTTCCTGGGCTTTGTACAGTCGCACTGTAGAAGGATGTTCTGATGGTTACTCAGCTCATATACGTTTAGCCGTACATATAAATGGCGCTATTCTATTAATTAGACATCCGCCTACCTGTACCTCAGTATAAGTTTTTATAGTGTTCGAAAACTAATTACGTTACTATACGTTTCTCTATAGCGCCTCTAGCGGAAACCAAAATGAATGAAAATCGGTAGTACAAATTAGTTTAAACTATCCAATTACTTATCAAGCCTCTGCCATACTCTCGTCGTGCCTACGGGATTCAATACTGTATAAGCATGTCCACAAATAATGGAACGTATTGTCGGGCTTTTGCACCAATAGGAAAATCAGCATGTCAATGCTTCGGCAATTACCCTATTCTATGGTCATAAGCAAAATATTGGTTTTATTGTTCATTTAATTTGTAGTACAAAATAACGTTTAATATTAGACAACGCTATTTTTTAAACAAATAGGTATATTTAAAAAAGAGCGATATTTCTGGGAAATATTAAAGATTTATTCGAAGAAATAGTTTATTATTGAAATTTTATAATAAATGCAAATTTTAAATCAGAGTAAAATCACCGTCACTTATATTATAATAGGAAAGTTTGTCTTTTAGAAATGTATTTGATTTTAGATTTCTAACTTACACGGGATACTGAAAATTGGCACTGGCAATATTGGTTAGTGCATTATGACTGTCTATGATATGCATAATAATTAATTAAGTCGTTGGTAGTATAAATTAAAACGTGAGTTCCCCAATAAAACTTCAATTCTATGTGTTTATCGTTTTTAATTGCTTGAAAAGGATAAAGATAGATGACAGAATCAACTTGACTTTCTTAACAAAAAGTTTTCCCATAGTGAAACTATGTTTATATTTTATATTTTAATATGTTTATATTTACTCTTCGCTTTGACTATTTTAAATACTTTATTCTTTGAACTAAAATGTAATTGTTTGTTATGACCGATAAAATCCCCGTATTGAGTTAATTCGACTGGCCGCCATTTTGATGATGTCATTACGTTCAAAAATCAGCACCGTTAGCAAATAAAAACTTATTGAGTTGTGTTGTGTTTAGATCGTACATTAATTTTGTTGTTTTTGTTGGTTTCGATTGTTATTGTTAAAGTTTGTTGTTACTTGTTATGGTTGACTAAAATGTCCAAAACTATCCTTTCTGTTTGTTATCGCGAATTCAGCTCGGACGGACAGCGTTAGGGAAGCTACGAAAAATCTTCGCATCCAAATTACCACAGTGTCTCAATACCTAAGTCTTCGACCAGTGTGGGTTGCCAGTGAACATGACGGAAGCGAAACATGGTCGTTCACTATAGATCTCATAAGAAGGCTCAAGGTCACCCAACGGGCAATGGAGAGAGAGCAATGCTTGGTATTTCTCTACGATATCGTATTAGGAATGAGGAGATCCATATGAGAACTAACGTTACTGACAATGCATTAAGAATTGCTCAGCTAAGGTGGCAGTGGGCGGGACTCATAGCGAAAAGAACTGATGGCCATTGGGGCTGAAGATTTCTTGAATGGCGACCACGTACCAAACGACGCTCAGTGGGTAGGCCTCCCAACAGGTAGACCGACGATCTTATAAAGGTAACGAGAAGCCGCTGGGTGTGAGCAGCGCAGGACCGATCATTGTGGAGATCCATGGAGGAGGCGTCTTACAGCTGATGATGATCGCGTTATTACAATTTTTTTTTTATTTGCATATACCTCAATATTTACATATAAATTGATTCTATTTCAATATGTTGAAGTTGAACATCAAAATATTCAACTTCCAAGACACTACAACAAAAAGCTATATTTACTTATTTAAGGTACAGCAACAGCTACACATGTAATTAATGTTCAATATGTTTCAGTACTTTATCAATAAAAAACTATAAAACTATTTATCCAATTTGAAATATGTATGGAAAGGCAAATACAAATCTAAAGTTTATACAAACTCAATCGAAAACTGAAATCTATGCAATTTTTTTTGGACAAAACGCCCACTTGTATAGTACGCTTAAAGTTCTTAACATCTCATTTAGAGTAATGTTACTACTCAAATTTGTTATTTCATCGATATGGGTCAAACAACAAAGAAGTTTTATACAAACGTTTTTATTCTTTTTAACCAGCTTCGGGGTTAAATGTACTCTCCAAATTTCAAGTCTCTACGACCAGCGGCTAAGGCCGTGCGTTGTCTGTCAATCAGTATATGAAGACATCTTCATTTATATATGTATAGATTGCTATCAAAAAGCCTACAATTATTTTATTGTTTTAGTATCGAAATGGTCAGGAGCCTGGTTGAATCTCACAGCTGTAGATCGAGCGGCTTCTGGGGCATATCTTTGTATAGCCACCAATGGTGTTCCACCATCGGTCAGTAAGCGAATTCAAATAAATGTCATGTGTAAGTATCTCACCAATTTATTCATTGATACATAAATAGATACACCGGTTTCTGAATTGACTATTTAAAGTAAAGCACGTCTTAAGCCGTACTTAATAAACAGGTTTTCATTTATGATTTTAGTTATCTTTAAATTAATTCATAGCGGTTTGAAAAAAACAGGACTTTTTGCCTTGTTCTCTGTTCATGTTCAAAAATCTGTTGAGATTTTGTATTTTTCTCAATTCAGAAATCGGCCGATAAACAAGAATTTTAATACTTTTTTTTAAATTGTATCATTATGCTGTAGTAAGAAAAATTGGTCTAAGTAATTATTTATCTACAACAATATTATAAAGTAGAACCATTTGATTGTTTGTGGGAGAGCCACGCTTCGGCACGAATGGGCCGGCTCGACCGAAGTGATACCACGGCCTTACAGAAAACTGACGTGAAGCAACGCTTGCGTTGTGTTTCGTCGTGTGAGTGAGGGTACTGGAGGCCCACCCCCTCCCTATTTCCCTCTCAACCCTTCCCTCCCTATGATCATATTCGTCCCTCAAAGGCAAGCAGCGCGCTTGTATCCTCTCTGGTGTTGCAGGTGTCCATGGGCAACGGTAATCACTTACTATCAGGTGATCCGTCTGCTCATCTGCCCCTAACCTATAAAAAAATAAAATTAATAGACTCCGAAACTACTAGACTGATTTTTTAAATTCTTTCACTTACGAAAAATTACATCATACGCGAATGACATAGGCTATAATTTATGTGGGTAAAGTCGCGGGAAAACAGCTAATGTGTTATATTACCTCTCTTTATAAGGTTGAATCACAAAGTATATTGCTATAAGCACTGACCTTATCAAACAAATATATGTAAATAGGATATACCTAGTAACAAATGGTACGTATTTGCTGACATTTTATGATTATTTCAGTCGCGCCATCAGTTTGGGCTGGTCGGGTTGCAATCAGGGCTCCATCAGGTGGTGCTGTTACTCTACAATGCACTGCCGAGGCATACCCTATTCCACAGTTTCATTGGACTCTCAACGGAGAGCAGCGATTATTTAATGGTGTAGTAATACAATTAACGTTAATTTGGTAGCGTAGGAAAATTCAATTAGTAAGGGTTCGTGAATTAACGTACTCCTAAAATTAGTCCTAATTCTCAAAATAGGCTTTGGTGATTGTGATTATAATAGAATTTCGTTTTTACATCTAGTGGCAAATTTAGAAAATATGCCTTTCCTTAAAACTTTCCAAAAACTTGTGTAAATTTACTTTCACAAAAATTAGTTATTCAATGAAATCATTTGAATTTAAATTTAGTTTATCATTCAATATTTTTATAACCTAAAGTTTAATCAAATTCACTATATCAACAATACGGTATAAGTTTCATATTTGCACTTTCGTGTAACATAAATATGAGGTAATATTTTTTATTCATTATAATGATCCGTACGTTATTTTTGCATTTATAAACGTAATGTCTGGCAACAAAGCTAAAGTTAATCCGTCCTTTTCTAACTGCTTTTCACAGTGTTTTTATATTTGAAAAGGCAATTTTTTTTTTAACCCAAATGATTAATTATCTATTTAAGTAGTTGTTAAAATAAAATAGGTAAAATAGAAAAAATAACAGATTCGTTAATACTTTTTAAAGTTAAGCTAGCCTTGGTATTTTCATACTCGTATAATTAAAAGCATTGTTTTGTCTTCTGTAATGTAAAATAATGGGTTCTTTGTAAAACACCCACAACTACGCAGAACTAGATAGCTTACATTATAAAGAATAATACTTTTTTAAACATATTAAGTTATATAATTCGTTCCGTTTCACTTCTATACAAAAAATAAAATTGTATTTAAATTACTCCTTCAACGTTAATAATTTTACGCGCAACACTAATATGTAGGTAATTTAATTCATACATTTTGCAAGCTTAGTGTCATCCTTTCATTATGAATGAGATGTATAAATTCGACGAAGCAAAAAAACGTGAAAATCATTTTTGTTGAAATTATTGATCTGTTTTAAAACTAGTAAATCAAGTTTTCGTTTGTGATGTTAGCTATGTAATCCTTTGAGGTTGGTAGTGTTTCATAAATGACCCTTTATAATGTTTAGTTGATATTAGTGTTTCAAAAATGATTAAAGTTTAGTTGATATTGATCTCTTGCCATTTATTATACTCATTGACTATTAAAAATGAGAGAGTACAATAATACTCTATCTAGGCTGTGCTGATTGATACGCCACTTCATCGATTAATGTAGGTATCTAAAATTATACATACTAAAGGTTAAAACCTGTTATAAAACACGAGGTTACACAGAACATTGCTCAACCCTATTACGATGAGAGTATTGAGGATCGAATTTTCTCGAGTTACTTATGCCCAGTGGTTTCCAGAAAAAATAAAAATTACTTATTATAAAAAATATTTACTAATATAAATAATGAACATTTTCCCTTTGAATATTAACTTGACTACTTGTTTGTACATTGTTATTTAGGATCCAAGTACAAGCTAAGCGCATCGTCGCGTGGATATCGGCATACATTGAATCTCCTAGTGTCAGATATGTCTATAGAAGACGCGGGCGCGTATAGATGTCACGTGGAAAACAATCAAGGGAAAGCTCAAGCTGAGTTGTTTTTACACAGTAAGTACAATAGGACTTTCCGAAAGTGATTTATGCAGTTTTAAACTTAAAGTAATGATTTGTTCAGATTGACGTTTGTTGTGATATTTTACCAATAACTAACACCATTATTTAAATTGGAAAATTAATCGACTTTAATAAAATTTTAATAAAGTAAGGTAAACAGGTAAAGTTTATTTCTTTGTAGGAGATAATTTTTGAAAATACTAATCCGATCACGAAAATTATTTCAGCTGCGATAAGGTACATTATACACTGATAATATAGACAGCAATTTGCGTAGAGTGAACACTTTGGATACGCGGTTAATAAACTAACTATAAACTTTGTAAAGGCCTACTTAAATACAAGATTCTGACTCAAATACTATGTTTTTTTTTTCATTCTGCTGTATTTGTTTTGTTTCGTTTCTTATAATGAATTCCTTAATTAAAACGTTTTTTATGAATAGTGTTAACTACTACGACTACAACAACAACAACGACGACGACTACAACAACAACTACAACAACTACTACCACACCACCACCAATAACGACAACGTTGCCATGTAAGTCATTAAAAACTGTATTCGGTATTTGTCACAAAATAAAAACTTGAAAGGCTTAAAACGGGGGATTAATTAGTTATACTATTAAAAAAGAATTACTGAAATCAAAAGCTGTGGGTTCATGTAATTTTCTTCAATAACATAATATATGAATACAAAACATAAAAAATATTCAAAATATAAAAAGTATACAAAAACTATCTATAAGATTTTAATATAATCGTCGGCATCAATTTTTATTAATTTGTCCCCGATTTGTATAAAAAAATCGTTTATATTTCACTACGTTCATATAATATGTTTTAATTGATTAAATAGTTATTAGTTATAACAAAACATTTGACATACGCATATATTATTCAGTTATCTAGTAAATAAGTGGTCTGTTTTGTGAAGCCGTGAAACACTTCATTAAACTACAAAGTGGGTATACAATCGAGAAATTGGCATTATGCCACTTTCAGGCGATTATCGATCGCGCTCTTAGCGGGTAGCAATACTCCATACTGATTGAGAACAGTTCAATGAAAAAAGTAGAACGTTTGATGACTGATTAATGGCTCCAATACATACGTTACATTTATCTCTATATTTGTTTAAATGGATTTATTATTACTAAAAAACTATATTTTCAAAGTTGACAGTGAGAGTCATCTGGAGCATTTGCATCGAGGCGTCCTGCAAGATCCAGATTTGGAAAATCCATATATTGTACTCAGTCAACACCAAATGCAGAACCTCGGTAAGTAGTTAATTAAAAATGTAATAAGTTAGTAATGGGCCGATGGAAGTTTTAATTTGCTAATAACCGAATCGTCGGTTTGTCAACCGACCAGTTGATAATTCTTCATTAGTTACAAACGTGATGTGTGACGCTTTCAATTATAAAAAGGCAACATTTATTTAGACAAAGCTCAACAATTTTCAAGTTGGCATTAATATATAAAATATTTCTTTTTTATCTCACACTTATTATTTATCTTTAAAAATAAATATTTGAGACAATATCGCATATATTTCTCAGATTCAAAGATTAGTAGCTAAATCTCCCGTACTAAGGAGCATCTGAGACAATGAAGGTACCACAAAAAAATATAAAAAAGTAAATATTCTACATTGACTCGATCCGAAATCAAACCCGGGACCTAAGAGATGGCAACACCTTGAGACCGGCGTACGAACCACTTTAATTTTGATTTTTACTGGAATATGGAATACTGGAATACTCTATATCTAATACCAGCCCATCTTCGGCAAGAAACGCATTAAGTAATGACTTTTTCAGTTGGTAACTCTAATCATATACAAAAAGGTAACACTTTACGAGTTGTACGTGTAAACTTTGTCTCATATTTTTGAGGACCGGTAAATGTCTATCTGCCTTCTAATTTTACTACCATTTTTTATTTTGAAGCTTGAGGTTTTTTAGGATGTAATATATAAATAAATTAGAGTATTCAAAGTAACTAATTTCAGAAATGGTGACTACGATGTGACCAGAAGCTGGCGTGAGGGAGGATTGGAATGAAGGTTGGCCTCCCCTCCACCGTTCAACCGCCACTACAAGACAACCTGTACTTTGGACAATATTTACAATGGTTTTATTATTAACAAAACTTCGATTATAAATAGCGAATGGATGAAAAGAATGAGAACAATATAAAGGAAACAAGACGCTGAAACCCAGTGAGTGTAAAAATGAAATAAGTGAAATTATTAAGAATCACTCTCGAGTGATTTTTATATAAGTATGAAGTTTATCAGTGAGTGGTGATTTTCTCAATAAAAAAATCAAGGTTGTTGAAATTTAAATATCTCTCGAACTTAAAATAGATAATAAGATTTGTTTAGTGCTTGCGTGCACAGTGTACGCTGTTAACAATGAAAAATATGTATTATATATAAAATGGTTTACGTTAGAGCTTTTAAAGTTATGAGGGTTTTACATCACAATTATCGTCTACATGACATTAGACGATAATTGTGATTATATTGATAATGATTATGTTAACGTGACATACACATATTGAAGAGCAACATGATTTAATTTTTAAAAACATTAATATCTTAGGTGATACTCAAGGCCATTATAGTATCGGGATGCTGTCAATACACATTCGTAGTAGTTGACGTACTCATTATGAGTGGGACAACACAGGAGGGCAGGAAGTTCTATTTTCGCTACTCATTTTAAATCTTCTTGCCGTCTAGAATTCCAATGATTCCTTAGATGCACAAAACTATTTTTCTGCATTTTTGAATCGTTCTTATCGAAACTATGTTGCAGTTATTATTAATGTAAAAATTCAATTCATTCACGCAAAAAAAAAAGATAATTTATTGTAAAGAAAAATAAATCCTTTTTGAATGGAAAGTGCATTTTTGTTTAAGGAAAATAATACAAATCAGTGTTTCAAACTGTCTTTTTAATGAATTTTATTTCTGTAAATCGATACAAACACACACACATACATACTGTGATTTTTCTGGCAAAGGGCAAAACAGAATGAGGCCATATTTTATTTAAAAAACTTTGACTTTTGACGTTGACATCTACTCTATCACTCACTCGTTGTTTGTCTGGCGGTGAGTGACTGATAATGCTTGTTGCTGTCGATCAAAACAACGTAGTGGCCGCGAGTCGAATAATTCAAAAATTGATCTTAAAATTCTAAGCAAGAAACACATATGATGCCAAATTCGCTCATCAGAAAAAAAGACTAAGACCCATGTACGTTTGTAGTAAACCTTAATTAAACGTGAAATATTAAGCTCTAGTTATGGAATCATGTCATGTCATAATAAAATATATAAAATAATGAAATAATATCTCCAGCAACGATTGCGATGGTTAGTGTTTTTTTACGAGTCACTGTGTAAATAGGAATAACTTTCATTATTCTTGTAGTGTAAGGTTATTTTGTAAATATTTTGCAGAAACGTCCATATCACACTTATAATAACGTGACGTATCTCCGTAAAGATCATAAGATTTAATTACCATACTTGGTTGCTTAAAAAATATTTATCACGCGTACATAAAATATCACGCGTAGCATGACAAACTCGAGAATATTTTGCCTAAACCCAAATGTCACTTTTTTCCGGTGTGCCCATACAATATCTCACTCTCGACCGGAGAAAAGTGACATTTGGTGTAGACAAAGCGTTTCTCGAGTTTGTAATGCTACGCGTGCAGTATACGTCCATGATGTTACCTGTCTTTTTCTCACATAAAATGGGTGGTAAATATTAGTTTCACACATGTGAAAGGAACACCATAATAAGGACATAGATGAGATAAGATCATCATTATTAGCACATATATAATTTGAATTGTGTTCTTTTTCCAATTTCAAATGCTTAACAGTATTATTTATAAAAATAATAGTTTTAATTTCAATATTGTTGTACTAGCGGAGTACCTAAGTATTAGCACAAGTACCTCATTGCTCTAATTAATATATGTCACAAATATAATTTTATTTTATTAATTCAATAAAATAATAGACATTTTTATTTTATATTAGCTGTAATCCGCGGCTTCCCCCACGTGGTTCGATGTTACTGTGTGTGTACATGTCTTTACTGAAATCTTAGGCTAATCTTTAATAAAAAATCAGCCAATGACCATTCACCTTTATATCATCATCATGAGCTTATCAGCATCTCCACTAATGGGGCAAAAGCCTGTCCAAGAATTTTTTCTGTATATAAAGTACATGTCTTCATAGAATAGTTTAGTTGCGCCGTTCTAAATTGTTCCTTAACTGTGTATTTATTTTGCTGCTGAGAAACATCAATCAGAATGTCAGTAAAAAAGGTCATTTTATTAATGAAATTACAATAAATAATTAATTGGTTTTTGTAAGTTTCAAAAGTTATGTTAAAAATGAATAATTGTTTGTCTTTTATATGTAATCCCATCCTAGTGAGTGTTTATAATGGAGCACAAACAAAACTGGAAACATATAGTATCAGCTGTTTTTCGTTGAAGAAAATAAATAAATTTTGAACCTGTTTCTTGTTTTATTTTAGTGTCCATTGCGAATTGAAAAAAGAATACAAACAAATAAACGATTTTAATAGAAATTAGTTCAATCTCATTTAACAGATTTCTAGTCCTTATATATCACAAAAATAAGATAGTAATTTTATCCAAATAGCGACAGAACAATATTGCAATCGATAACATACAATTGATGAAAAAGAACCTGATATACAAAAAAATAGGACTATAGTAAAATCTGTTGTATGAACTACTTCCCATCACATCACGACATCGCTAGATGCGATGCAATTTGATATCGATTGGCGATATCACATGAATCGCACGCCCTTATAAAATATATGGAGAATCGCAAGTGTTTGCTTATGAGACTGCACTGCCGATCAAATCAGCCATTCGACGCCTACTGCTTGGCGATTGGTCCTGCGTTGCCCGCAGTTTCCTTCACCCTTTATTAGATCGTCGGTCCACCTGGTTGAGGGTTCCTTTTCCCAATCTGTCGATATTGGATATTTTAAGCATTTTTCATTAAAAATATTATCACAGTCATACAAAAAAGTAAAAAAGGTTGTATAATGGTTAGTAGGGTTGATAGGTAATGTGATTTACATTTATTTGCTGCACCCTAATGTCATCACTCATTTAATTAGATAAAAACTTAAATGAATTTCTTATGGCGGTCGGTGGTCCTCTTAAATTATAAATATTCCACAGAACGGTACCCCGACTGCAATGAAAATTTTCTTTTAGTATCCATTGAATTAACATTTAAAAAGTATAGTAATGATTAAACAAAGTATAATTTCTAAAAAAGGTGTTTAAAAACTTCCATAACCTTGCACTACCAAAAACGGTCACGGCAAATAAACTTGAATGAACGAATACAGTACTATCGCGAACTTTCATCATCATTACACAACTTTCGCCGCAAAAGCCCTAAGCGTGAAACTTTTAAAACAAATCTACCCAAACACATTAACACTGGTCCGGCTTCAACTAATTCCCCTATTCAAATTCTCGGCAAAATTAATAGGTCCTGTCATAAATTAACCGATAGTTCCACTATCGCCTGGGGCACGTATAACAAGCCTCGGCCCTCCAAGAATAGCGTTGCGTAAACGTTAATGGCATATTTCGGTCCCTTTTTAAGCTCGTACCTCACAGATTACGTCTGTTAAATTCAGGTGTGAGTAGGGTAACTAGACATAATATGCAAAATTTATTTTTATTATAATATCATTAGATAGGTATTCCATCCATCAGCATCATTAGCTTACTAATATCCCACTACTGGAGTACAGACGCTCATTATAACTTGTGTTAACAACTGCAGATACAAGCAGATGTAGCCAAGCCTAACAGGGCTTAACGTATCTTGAGCTTGTGACCGGCAGTTGCGAAAGATACATAACCATAGCAGACCGAGTAAAATGACACAAAGTTACATATTACTATTTCTCGTGACTTTGCCCACGTAAATTATACCTAGCCTATGTTATACGTGATCAGACCAAAAGTAACAAGTGCTTAAAATTCGTCAGCCCTGTTTCGCCTCAGGTAGCTCAATGGTTAGAGCAGTCGCCCGGATTGCGAAAGGTTGTAGGTTCGAGTCCTATTTCGGGGTGTCTAGAGCAGGTGGATTTTTAAAGCATTTTTCATTATAGATATTTATTACTCTAGCATCGTGAATTCAAAATTGATCAAATATAATAATTAAATTATTTATATCTTCAAACTACTG